AATTATATGCTTCCGATTCATAAGCAAATCATATAATTTCATTTCAAAAAATTTAATCTTATCCAAATTTGCAGTTGATTATGCTTTCCACAATTCTCTGTGGAATGTAATTTTTCTTTGAAATCTTGTTTTTGTTGATAAGTTGTGTTTAATAGTTGTTATTACTGACATTTCATGACGTTCTCGACATTTTAAAATTTATTATCGACATTTAGACACTATTTATCTTGACATTTAACAATTCATTTGTTTAGAACGAGATTTCGTTCTGAACAAGAAAGATCTATACGTTTCGTAATATTCTTGATATTTTAAACGCACTCTTTGATATTTCATAAATGTTTTATTTACCCACTTATAAGGAGAAGTAAGCATTTAGTGCATGGTTGATATGGTACTTTTTAAAATGAGTAGTATAGGTTATGTGTCAAGTTATTCTTTGTCAATACAAATTTTAATTATATAAATAATTTTGTCTTCATTGTGGAATTTACAATTGTTAATGATGGCATTTTGGTCTATAATATAGTAAAATGGATATTGAAGAAATTTTGAACATTTTTTAAAATGACTACGTAAAGGTTTACATTTTTTGCAATTTCCTCTAATATATTCTAATGAGGAGTCTAACCTTCGAATCATCAATATCTACAATATAATAAAAGAGAGGATTTTTGAATACTCAATTTACCCTTACATATTAGCTATATATTTAATATACTCTTATTTAATTTAGTTTTGTAAATAATTAATTAATAACATTAGTTCCTTACATATTTAGCTATATACCCTTATTTAATTTTAGTTTTGTTAATAATTAATTACTAACATTAATTCAATATATTCAACTTGAAATTTAAAAAAAAAAATCATTTTCTTTTTCATTTTATCAATAATTCCTTAAAATAATATTTTAAATATTATATTATTTTTTTATTAATAGCTTTTATTATAAAATATAACTTAAATGTCTTCCCTCGATTGAATTAGCGTGTATATATATATATATATTCCCTTATTCAAATGGCTATTTCAGTTTATTTTTTCATACATATCCTAACAATCAAATAATATATATTTAATAAAATTAATGCATACACAATGTTACTATACAATTTGATAAATTTTTATTTTATATTATATCTACCTTTATTTACAAGTTGTTTTGATTGATAGTTACATATGAATTCTCATGATACCTAAGTTTAGATAAAAATGGAATCTCAAATGATAGGATAATTATATTCCCACTAAAATTTTTATAGGATTATTCTTGTTGTACATTGGAGTTGTACATTGGAGTGTCCATAATGTACACCCGGCACCCCCCTATTGGATGGAGTGCCAGCCCCACTGGGACTCTATCCAATAAAGAGATGTCGGGTGTCCATAAGTTCATTATGGACACCCTTATGTACACCCTGATATACTTGTAGCAAAGTCCATTTTTATAAACTATACGACATTATAATTGCAGTAAACATTTGTAATCTTTGCTCATTTTCACACTTAAGTCCTCAATTATTTTTCGATATATTCTTATCACTATATGAAACAAATAACTTATTATAACATTATAATATGTAATGAAATTCTAAATCATCCACACACAAGATTAACGGAATAAAATTCTAATAAATAGAGAGAAGGTATGATGAAGGAAGATGGAGATAGTCTATTGAGGCTACGTTTTTTTAATTTCCTGTCAACATAGCATGTGAAAGGAATTGAGAGATTGCTATTTTGTAATTAATAATTAATATAAATAAACAAGAGGGAAGACTCGGGGTTGCTTTGTGTTAGTACATACACTATGTAATAAACATAATTAACATATTGTAGCTATAGAAAAAACAACTTTTTTTATTCTAGAGTTGTTGTCAATGAAAGCAATTTTGTAGACTAAAGGTAAAAACTATTGTTAATGAAAGTAATTTGTTGTGGGTTAGAACTTCTCAAAACTCGAAAATAGCCTAGATGATATTTATGCACGTGTATGTATTCATGTTGGGCATTGGAGTTTCGGAGAAGTCGATTTAATAAGACAAAATCTACAAAAAAATAAAATAAAAATTGATTTCTAGTCTTTGACGAAATTTAGTCAAGCTTTGTTTGCATTTCAATTTAATTTCTAATAATATGAATTTAATTGTCTGAAATTTCTATTTTAGATTTATCTATTATCATGAATCGTTTTAATTGTATATATACATCGATTTGGGACGTCCTGAGCATGTGATAGCCCTACAACATTATTATCTCATCATATTCATACAAATATGTATTTTTTTTTTTATTCATACTTATTAAATGGTGGAGCCATCTTTGATTGGACATCTATATGCCACAGATGTCTTTCCATCACTGTAATTGATCATTGGCTTGAAGATTTATAATTTTAATATTTCTAATCTTATGGTTGTTATTTACTTGTTTTATTATTTATTAAACTATGATTTAATAATTAACTTTTAGGTGACATTAGCATGGGTCCAATTATATTGAACTTTGACAACGTGATTTTGTTAAAACGGGAACAAAATCACTTGAGAATTTTTTTCATATTTACTCAATTTTCGGTATTAAGCAAATTTTAAAATGTTAATTATAATTAACATATGATTTTGCATCGTATTGGTATTTGAGCACAATCACATTCTTGATAAAGACGTGTTGTATGATATTATATTTTGCTATGTGATTTTTTTTTTCTAAAATTGATAAATAAATTACTAAACTAACATATCAATGTCTTTTTTCTTGTGTTTGCCAGAAACTTCACGGATGAATATATCATCGCCAAAAACACTAACAAAAACGAGGTCAGGTTCGTTAATATATCAACAAAATGAGTTAGGTTGTTAGTTTAATTTGAAAAATATTAATTTTTTCCGTTTTGTTAATTGTTAATGTATATTTTTGTTTTCATATCTTAAATTTGTTTTTATATTTATGAGATTGATGTCATCAAACAAAGTTTGCAATTATCTCTTTATAAAACAACTGAACGCATTTGAAGAAGAGTGTATTATAAAAGTAAACATACTTCGAAAAAGTTCCATTGAGATCTACAATAATAAAAACGATCATTTTAAAGTTTTAAAATTAATATTGTGTAATGGGAGGTATTATATAACGTTATAATTAGCCAATATTTATTTTTACAGAAGTTTCACTATTAAATTAGTAGGTTATTTTTTTATAATGTTTTTAGGGAAGTAATTTTCAAGTTACGCGTTTAAGGACACAATCAAAAAGTTCTTTCCCATACTTGAGAAAGGAAAAACATTTCGAATTCGAAATGAAAAAAAATAATATACTTTTATATATAATTTCATAAAGACTTTTATTTGTATATACTTTTTTTTATTGTTTACAACTTGAATTTTTCCTTTAATAATATCAATTGCCTCAACTACTTTAAAAATAATAATAGTTCTTCAGAAATATAACGAATACATTCATTCGATACATAAAACGTACAATATATGTGCTTACTACTAGTTTGTTTAAGGGTGGAAAAAATGACCAGACCAAATCAGAACCAAATCAAACTGAGCTGTTTGATTCGGTTCTACAAAACAAAAAATTATTTGTTCTGATTTTAGAATTTAGAACCATTTGTTTTTGGTTTTGATTCAGTTCTAGTTCTAGCCAAGACCACTCAATATTTAAATTTTATTGTTTTACATATATTTACAAATTAGTGAATCACAATTCACATACAAAATTTCAAAATTCAATTGAAAAAAATAAAATAAAATCACGTACCTCCGATTTCTCATTTCTTAATGACAATGTGGAGATTGGAGACCCTAATTCATTTTGGAGATTCAGACCTTAATTCGTTTCTCATTTTCAATTTATATACCGACTCTTAAATGGAGATCAATAACTACCACCTGCTATCTATTGCTGGCTCAGCTATCATCGTCACATGAATTTTTAAAATTGAAACCTCAACTTTCAATTCTTCTTCGTCAACTGTTATTTTTTTTCCCTCAATCAGTATTGAAACTATAACCAAACCAGATCCAAATGATTCGGTTCCGATTTGGTTCGATATATTAAAGGAAAAAAAAAACATTTGGTTCCATTATAAAAAAAATTATTTATTCATAGTTCGATTCAATTTTCGTGAAACCGGAATTAAATAGAACCATGTCCACTCTCAAATTTTGTATAATCAAGGATGGTTATTCTATTGGATAATTCTAGTTGTACATAATTTATGTATATAAATGGATACATAATGTGATGTGGCAATCATCCACTAGTTGATGTGAAAGTGTAAAATTTGAATTAAACGCTGGATATGTGCCACGTGTAATTATGTGAACTATTATATGAAAATTTATGTATTCCTAGCAAAGTCCTATTCTATTATTACAACGTTCGGAAGACGATTACTGCAATTGAATACAAAAGTTAATTCAAATGCATCATTTTAAAGTTTAGAGATCAAATTGCAATAAATATTAGAGGATGAGGACTACTGATGCACTTTGTCCTGTGAATTATCAGTCAATAATTTGCAGTTGATTGACCAACCATAACAGGACATGTCATCTGTTTAGGACAACATAATATCTATCTACAAATCTTCTCCATGACTTCACGCGCTGTAGACTCCCAAATATCACGCTCTCTTTAATTCTGTTTACACCATTCAAATGACATGTTTCGTTCATTCAAATCGTTGATTGCACGCTGATAACCCCACACGTTTACTCCATATTTACATCGACACCCACAATTTTATTACCTATACATGCCCTTTTCTCCTCTCTGAATTTCTTCGTCCCCAAACTCTTCTTCGCCTCCCTTTAATTTTTCCTTACCCACTCTTGTCGTGTCTAAATTTATGTATTTTGGGTCTTGATTTTTCAATTTTTGTCAAGATCTGTTGAATTTTTTTGGAGAATTAATCAATTTTCAGATCTGAAATAAAATTTTTGATTTCCAAGAATCGATTTGTTTGGAATAAATTTTGGATGTCAATGAACTCAGCATATTGGTGTTACAGATGCAACCGATTTGTTAGGGTGTGGACCGAGGATTCGATTGCTTGCCCCGATTGCAACGGTGGCTTTGTAGAAGAAATCGAAAATGCGACCCAATCTTCGCTGTCCGACTCCCGCAGACGGCGTTTTCCGGCCGCCACTATGTACATGATGCGGGATCCGGAGTCGGGACCTGGGTCGGTTTCCGGGTCGGGTTTGAGCTCCAGTCCGAGGCTTAGGAGGAACCGGAGAAATGGGGGTGATAGGTCACCGTTCAACCCGGTGATTGTCCTCCGTGGGCCCAATGATGGTGGAGGCGGTGCCACGGCCGGAGGTGGATTTGCACTGTACTATGATGACGGAGCAGGGTCGGGTTTACGTCCCTTACCAGATAGCATGTCGGAATTTCTACTTGGGTCAGGTTTTGACAGATTGCTGGATCAATTGTCCCAAATTGAGGTGAATGGTATTGGGAGAATTGAAAGTAATCCGCCTGCATCGAAGGCGGCAATTGAATCTATGCCCACAGTCGAGATAATTGATCAACATATAGCCACCGAATCACATTGTGCTGTTTGTAAAGAGGCCTTTGACTTCGGGAGTGAGGCTCGGGAAATGCCCTGCAAGCATTTATATCATCAAGACTGCATACTGCCATGGCTTTCATTGCGAAATTCATGTCCTGTTTGTAGACACGAATTACCAACGGATGATGATAATAATAATGATAGTAACTATCATCGTGATACAACCTCGGTGAACAGAGGAGGGAACGAGATTGTGAATAATGATGAGACTGTTGGACTTACAATATGGAGGTTGCCAGGAGGTGGATTCGCTGTGGGAAGGTTTTCCGGAGGGAGGAGAGGTGGGGAGAGAGAGTTGCCTGTTGTTTACACAGAGATGGATGGTGGGTTTAACAATAATGGGGTTCCGCGGAGGATTTCATGGGGGTCGAATGGAAGTATTTCGCAGGAAAGAGGCGGGTTGAGGAGAGTTCTCCGTGGTTTGTTCTCTTGTTTTGGCAGGAATCAATCATCCACTTCTAGTTCTAGTTCGGATTCTAGAATAAGTCAGAGGAGTAGTTTCAGTTCCACATCAAGACGCCGAAGAGGATGGGAATTTGATGTTAATGAAGGAAATAACAGAAGATGGTGATTTCTGAAGTGGGGTTGCTAGTATATCAATCGACTTTGTGGAAGGTTGATGATGAAATTGGTGGTAGGCTTTGTTGTCATTCATTGTAGTTAGATGGAAATGGAATGATCAATGTTGGCTGATTGGTTTCGTGTTCGTCCAAGAATTATTGCTCAGTGATATTTTGGTTAATAACTGAAATGGAGATGGTATGTGAGCAAAACAGGATAAAAAGATGAAGTAACAGAGGAGAACAACTCTGAAACAAGTTGTCTTGTGGTGGTAGAATCAGCTTCTGAGAACTGTTAAGTAGAAGGTAAAAACCCCATGTACTGATTTGTATTTGAACTTGAGAGTTCTTGTAGTCTTTCTCTTATTGTTTTCCTCCTTATTTTTTCATCTGTAGTTTGCTTCGTTTCTGCTCTTTTCATGTGTCATTAGTGTTCTTTAATGCCTAAGTTCAAATGCAGCTTATGAAGCCTAACGAGTTTGAGACTCATGTTTGTTGTAGATCACCTTTGGCGTATGATTGGCATATAACAGCCGAAGGTGTGACTATTTTGTTTCTAAAAATCGGATCTTTTGAACACGGGAAACATGCTATGGCACACATATGAATGATTGTCCAAATTATACATTCGAAGAGAATGCATTCTAATGTATCGACTGTCAAAACCATGAAATCATGGTTTTATTGTGAATGTATTACCAACTTGTTTTTGTAGTTGGCTTGTATAGAGTTGCTATCCCTGGCTAGCTGTTTCTCACCGGGATTTAACGCACAGTGGTCTGTTGGTCTATGACTTCACGAATTTGAGTTGTTTTCAAGCTGCAGCTGTGTATTCCTGGTTAGAGCATGTTTTGCTGTGGTTAAATTTGATTTACTTTTATGCACGACTGCACACTATTCAATTGCATACTTGCTATTAGAACATTTAATGTGGTTGTGACTCCCATCAAGCTTGATAATGGATCAATCTCTTCAATTTTTAGCCTATTCATTCACATGCAAAAAAGAACAAACGCAATGGACAGAAAGTTGACATGCATATGTGACAGCATTTGACATATGATCTATGAAAGGCAATCTAGTCACATGTTTGCGAAAATCTCGGGTTACTAGCGTAGAAATTGAAACATGTGTGATAAGATATTTTAGATTCTTTTCCTTGTACTTCATATATTCAAAACCCTATCATGCATGCAAAATGCAGGAGCTAGCAATTGCTATGATATATACATACATTTGCTTCTTTGATTGATATAATCAATTGTTTCGTCGTTTTGTGCGTTGTCGCACAAAATCTCTTGCATCTTCAAAGAGGCTATTGACCAGTTGAGGTTGACATTTAGAGCATGTTTGATGTATATTTTTGAAGAATAAATTTCGTGAAAAGTACGAAAAAGTTATGGATCCATATGCATCCATCAATTATAACATCAATCTAATTTCAATCCTGCTTCTATGTTCAAATTAAAGTTTATGATATTTAATTTTTCAGTCTTCAATTTTGGTGACCCGCTTGAGTTTGTCTAAAATGTTAAAAAGTCAGTCGTGGATGTGGTGCTTCTACGAAGAATTACGTGTCCCCAAAAAACTTGGATTGTGCGATTCATCAAAGGTTGAGATTACGTGTCCCCAAAAACTGAATGTCGTCTATTATAATGAGTATTTTTGTCATAATATTCAAGCATCTATAAATTTAAAGAGTAGCAGACACTTTATTTTTGTTCTTTATTTTAATTTTCTTAACATTTATTTATATTTTCATTAATATAATTTTTTAAATGTCGATAGTTAAAATATTTAATATAATATAAATACTTTTTAAGTAGCAGAGTATTGAAACTCGTAATTTTATTAAATGTAATCTCGATAAAATGCAAATGGAAAATGAATTTGTTTCTTAAACTTTATAGGGTAATAATACTCTTTCCATTATAAAAAATTAAAATAAAGAGTCTTAAAATTTCATTTTAATGTTTGACTCTTTAAAATAAAGAATACTTTTAAATAAGGGTTATTGGCTCAAAACGTCCCTACCTTTGAAGGGTTGTGTGGAAAACATCCCAACGTTTGATTTTTTGGTGCGCAACGTCCCTACCTATCAAGTTTATTGTAGAAAACATCCCTACCAATCATTTTTTGGCACAAAACGTCCCTACCTTCTGCATTTAGAACATTTAATGTGGTTGTGACTCCTATCAAGCTTGATAATGGATCAATCTCTTCAATTTTTAGCCTATTCATTCACGTGCAAAAAAGAACAAACGCAATGGACAGAAAGTTGACATGCATATGTGACAGCATTTGACATATGAGCTATGAATGGCAATCTAGTCACATGTTTGCGAAAATCTCGGGTTACTAGCGTAGAAATTGAAACATGTGTGATAAGATATTTTAGATTCTTTTCCTTGTATTTCATATATTCAAAACCCTATCATGCATGCAAAATGCAGGAGCTAGCAATTGCTATGATATATACATACATTTGCTTCTTTGATTGATAGAATCAATTGTTTTGTCGTTTTGTGCGTTGTCGCACAAAATCTCTTGCATCTTCAAAGAGGCTATTGACCAGTTGAGGTTGACATTTAGAGCATGTTTGATGTATATTTTTTAAGAATAAATTTCGTGAAAAGTACGAAAAAGTTATGGATCCATATGCATCCATCAATTATAACATCAATCTAATTTCAATCCTGGTTCTATGTTTAAATTAAAGTTTATGATATTTAATTTTTCAGTCTTCAATTTTGGTGACCCCCTTAAGTTTGTCTAAAATGTTAAAAAGTCAGTCGTGGATGTGGTGCTTCAACGAAGAATTACGTGTCCCCAAAAAACTTGGATTGTGCGATTCATCAAAGGTTGAGATTACGTGTCCCCAAAAACTGAATGTTGTCTATTTTAATGAGTATTTTTGTCATAATATTCAAGCATCTATAAATTTAAAGAGTAGCAGACACTTTATTTTTGTTCTTTATTTTAATTTTCTTAACATTTATTTATATTTTCATTAATATAATTTTTTAAATATCGATAGTTAAAATATTTAATATAATATAAATACCTTTTTAAGTAGTGGAGTATTGAAACTCGTAATTTTATTAAATGTAATCTTGATAAAATGCAAATGGAAAATGAATTTGTTTCTTAAACTTTATAGGGTAATAATACTCTCTTTCCATTATAAAAAATTAAAATAAAGAGTCTTAAAATTTCATTTTAATGTTTGACTCTTTAAAATAAAGAATATACTTTTAAATAATCTTTTGGAGATGCAATTTCTAACTATGTTCATAAAAATAGGAAATTTGGTGCAAATGGCCCAAACCTTTGTCCATTTTGGTAGTTTAGTTCCAAAACTTTAAATCGTAATAATAACATCCCAAGCCTTTGTGTTTTTACTACAATTGGTTCTTTTGGATAGATTCTGGTCAAAAGAACCGTTAGTTTTCTTTTTAAGGATAAATTGCTTATATAGCCCGAACTTTGGTAAAAGCAACAATCATGTACCTTACTAAATTTTCGTTTGATTTTTGTTCCCAAACTTTGAGAATTTAACATAGGCAGTCCCCCTGCCGAAAAAATTGACCAATTTATTTACAAATGATCCAACTTTAAAGTAAATCAATATAAAAAAAAAAAAAAATAGAATTTAAAATTTTGTAAAAACTTGGATTGTGCACAGCAATTTACATAATGATTTACCAACAAATGATGTAGTTAAATTTAATTGGATCAAAATCTCATCAATCAAATAATCTCTCCTTACATTTTGACACTTCGTCATACCTAAAAATTTATCTTCTTCACTCATGCACCCTCACCCACCACCATCACCACTATCACTACTTTCACCACTACCATTGTCACCTCCATACCACAACTCAAAGGGGATTTATCCCCCTTATTTGCCGATAAACCCTCAAATGACTAAGGTCAGAAATCCCTCCAATTTCGCGGTCACAAAAAGAGTAAAATATTCAAGAATCTTACACTAAACTATGCTTGAAATTTTAATTTTTTTTAAAAGTCCAATAAGCTATAAATCATGCTCGGGTACTCTCTCTCTCTCTCTCTCTCTCTCTCTCTCTCTCTCTATACTCTGTCAAAGCAGTGGTTGATCAAGAAAATCTACAAATTAAAGAAATGGATGTTTGCTTCATACCATTATGTAATTTCACAACTCCCACCATTTTTTTCTTGCTATCTAGTTTCTGTTTCAATACGCTAAACCTTTTCTTTCTTTTTTGTTGAAGATATTATTAATTATGGGTTTCAATAATCTGCAATGGCTACAGACATTTTTTGTTTTGGTTTCTAAGTGAATTGAATTGGGGTTTTACCAAAGAAAAATGAGGAAATGGCCCGGTTTGAATATTGAAAAGTTCAGATCATTGATTGATTGAATGCATGTTTTGATTGGTTATAGTAATAATGTGAAATTAAGCCTCTTCTTAACTGTTTTTTGAAAAGAGTTCTGAATAATTTTGATCAATAATACGAAATTAAGCATCTTCTTTGGTTTCTTGAAATTGTGAGCTGTCGTGGGACATGGTTTGGTGGGGGTGGCGGCGGCGATGATTGAGGTTTGGTCTGACTAGTGTTTGGGATTGGTGGTGTTTTCCGGTAGGTTAGTTGGAGAATGAGACGATTTTGTTATCTTTTTTTCTTTTAATTTTTGTATTTTATTTAAATATTGTTCATTTAAAATCAACGGTAAATTTGTCATAAAAATATATTAGTAAGGACTAAAATAAGATGAAAAATTAATTGAGGACATAGTGTTACTTTCAAAAATGTTGGGACTACATATGAAATTTACTATTAGAAGAAAGTGCATTTCACTTTCAAAATAGACAGTTATTTCGAACGGAATCTATCTAAAAGGACTAATTGTGCAAAAATACAGAGGTTTGGAACAATTATTACTATGATTGAAAGATTTGAGACTAAACTGTCAATATGGACAAAAATTTGAGATCATTTGCACCAATTTTCATTTATCATGTAA